GTTTGTAATACATCTGAATATTTTTTCGATTTAACAAACACTGAAAAAATAATTCGGCAAAATAAAATTTCGTTTACAAAAAAAACAAATAATCTATTTATATAATTTTTATTTTTGCCATCCATGGAAACTAATTTGTCCAGTGGATAGAAAAAATAGATACATGTATCCAGTGGATGGGTCTCATCCAGTCATATGTCTTAAATAAACTCTTTTCATTAATTCGTCATTGCCCTCAATGAGAAATAATAAAAAATGCATTTTTTACCTAAGATGTTTTAATTTTATATATTTTCATTAGGTGTGGTTATATGAAAAATATAATTTTTTGATGTTAAATTGAAACAAAAAAGTGTATGACCTCTTTATTATTTTGAAATTTATTTTATCTCCCTGTTATTTTTCCTTATCCATAAACTCGTCATTATTTATACTATTTTTAGAAACAAAGAAAATTGTTTTTAACACTAAAAAATAAAAACAATCATTTTACATTTTTATTTTCATCAAAATGTTGAGTAAATGTATTTTATTATTTCTATTATAATATATTTTGGATATAATTGACGTAATTCTGTTTAATTTAATAAAGTAATTTGATTAATTGTCAATATTGAGTAAATATGTTGATCATTAAAATTTAGTTGAATTATAACTTAGTATTTTAATTAATTACAGATGATAAAATAAACAAATTTGAAAAAAATAATAAGTTAAAGTTTCAAGTCTTCATGATATCATGATGTGTCAGTTTGTAAACAATTATTGTTGAAATGACTTACTTGAAAATACATTTATTATTAAAAAATTAACCTTAAAAAGTTTTATAGTTTTATTCATTTTAAAAATAAATGCGTTCATATAAATTAACTGGAGAAATATTGACAAAATCAAACAATTATTGACTCAATAATATATAAAAAGCAAAATATAAAGATATGTATTAATATAGGAATTATAAAACAATACAATATACTTACATTTTAATCAATTTAGTATTAAACCTCCATTATAATCAATACGCTATAAAAGCAATACAATAATAAAAATGAAACAATTAAAACGTAATCATAAGTTAAATAATTATGCAATGCAAAGCCAATGTGCACAAATCAAAATACAGTAAAACTTTTCAAAAAACGGTACTATTGAAAGCGGATTCTCTCAAAAGATGGTATTTTCAATGAAACTAAAAATAAAGTTCTTTATAGAGCGGTAATTAAGGTTTGATTGGCTTAAAATGCCCACTTTTGAAAAAAAAACAAAATTATCACACCCGCCCGCTCTTTAAAGTTTTTACTGTTCACTTTAGTTTTTGAATAATAAAAACGTTTTATCATTGAAAATTGGCCAGCTCCAAGTTGTGACTTAAATATAATTGAGCATTTGTAGTAATATTTGAAATATAAATAATAAATAGATAATACAAGTAATGAAAACAATTTATACTGTGTCATGTTGTTTGTAAAAAATACATCAAAATATTAACAAGTAAGTTGAAAGTTATAGTGAATGGTTGAAATTGTGTACAAGAAAAAATTACAAAAATATTGCAAGACTAATGACCAAAGTACTTTAAATTATTTTTAATTACTATCATTTTTTTTTCACAAAATCGTAACTGAAAAAAAGACGCTTTTATGAAACAAGTAAACAATAAAGTCTGTTTTTTTTAGCGATATTCTAAAAATATAACAAAAAAAGGAACTAGACCAAAAATATTAAACCATTATTTACTATACTCAATATCGCTAATTAAAAACCATTAACTATTAATAAAATTATCATAAATTAAAACTAATGTTAAACAAATCCTGAGCATTGACTTTTTCCAAATCATTTGTTGTCGTGTTCAATTTGACCCAAATGATAAATTGACATGTTTAATCTATCTAACATGACATTTTATTCGTTTTGAATAACTTGGTTGACATAGTTTATTTCGTCGTATTCACATTTCAAGACCAATTTATTTTTCGTTTTGGTTTTATAATTTTTCAGTTGTTTGGTTATTTTATTTTTTATTATTTTTAGCACACTTTATTGAAAAAAGAACAAAAAAATAAAATACAAACCATTTTTTAGAAAAACCACTTTATTTTTATTATAAATTATAATACTGTTATTATAAATAATAGTAAAAACCCAATATCGTTAGATAGAAAACAGACTTAATAATTATTTCAAAAAAAGAAATAAAACATTGATTATAATTTAAAAATAACAAAATGAATGAGTAGTTTTATCCATTGTTAATTAAAAAACTGATTTTACATATACATAACATGTAATTATTTAACCACACTATTATTTTAATAAATAATTTGTTAAATATTTATAAAATACTCTGGTTGGAAATTATCAATCATTTTATATAACAGTTAAATATTATTAAAATCATTTTTGGTTGAAATAAATATCTTTTAAAATGAGATTTATATATAAAATGAAATATAAAAACAAATAAACTTTATTAACATACAATGGAAAACATGTTAACAACACTTTCAACACTCTGCACAAACACGACAAAAACGGTGTCAGACCTCCAAAAATCTGATCAAGAATTTGACTTTGTTGACGACAAGTCACTTGACATTGAACAACGCATCAAAAACGCAGAGGGACACTTTGACAGACTTGACGAATTATTTGAAAGAAAATTGAACATCGCAGAATCACTCAACACAATCGTCACCAATTTGCATAACATTTCAAATAAAACCAAAAGTGAAATACCTCTATATCCAACAGAGAGTGGCAATGAGAAGTTGTATGAAATATGCAACATCAGAATTACACTTTATGAAGAAAAGTGCCAATATGATATAAAATCATTGCAAGACCAGATCAACAAAATCATTCAAAGAAAAACACTAAAGTTGATCAAATAATGAAATCGGAAAAATTTATCAATGCGAAAACAACGACACGATGAAGAAAAAATTAGAAAAGAAAAAGCCAGTCTTGAGAAGTTGACAGGAATGAAGATTGGAAGTGTTGTGTTTGACTCAGATAAAGACGACTGGTCAACAGGAACCTCAGTGTTTGATGCAAAAATCATTAACAATTGTAATTTGTGCTTTTTGGTAGAAGACACAAATCACAACAAGTTTGGTGGCGTGTACAATGGTACTATTAATGCCGTTAACAATTGGCTCAACAGTGGCAATTCTTACATCTTTTCACTTGTGAGAAGTGGCACTTTAAATCCAAAAAAGTTTAAAAAAATAAAAAAACTTTTAGATTATGAATTTTATCTTTATTCTAAAGACGATTCAAGTCTCTTTTTATTTGGTATTGGTAGTGATATTAATATAATTGTGAACAAAAAAGGTCTTAATGATTGTCATTGCAGCCCATCCACTTACGCCGCCGAACAAAACGATTTGATTGATAATGACAAATTTACACCAAAAAGCATTGTTGTTTACCAACTTAACTGACTTTTTTGTCGCTTTTTTGTTTTTAAACATTTACAACTTTGACGGCAAAAGTGTCATTTATGTAATATGCCACGCCACCACAACTTGAATTAATGTACACTGAAATTAACAAAATCTATTCTTTCAAATATTGGATATACCAAAAAATGGGGACATTTTTACGCTTCAAATTGAAAAACAGGAACTAACACCCGATTATGACATTTTGATGTTTATAATTATTTCAGGCATCTCCTTTTTGTATCTACTATCTTCTTCGGAAATGGTTTCACGACGCCGCAACTCGCCGAGTTCAACGAGTTTCGATAGTTACAGCATATCTACTTTTTGTGTCCAGTTATTTATTTTCAAACTGTATTTAATGAAAGAAGTTCGGTATTTTTATATGTTATGGGTTTTCTCAAACTGTAAATTGTAGTATTTTTCAAGATATTTTTTCGTTTTGTTTTTTATTTTTTATAGCGGCTGCAGATAAATGATCTTGTAAATGATACATTGTAATGACGAGTAATTTACACTCATATCTACATAATGTATTCCGATGTGCAGAAAATAGTTTTATGTTGGTAGCTGAATTAAAAGTATAGTAAAAAAAATCCCAAAAAATAACAATCCCGAAGTAATAAACTAAATGTGGCTGTTGTAACGCATCCACTGAAATCCATCCATTGCAACTTTTTTGGAATACATTAAACAAAATCTTTATCAGAAACCATTATAAAAACCAATTTATAAAAAACAGTGTTGTTTTGATTTTTTCATTATTTTATTTAACGAGTTATTATCATTTTATAAATATAGACCAAATAATAACTAACAATATTTATTGAAATCAATGTATTTGACTAAGTAAATTACCGATATTGTTTATTAATTAGCATAAATTTGTTTAATAACAACATAAAAATAAATAAAAGTTGATCAAAACGTAAAAATATATTTTTCTAAAAAAAACAAACATTAACTTTGCTTTTTAGTCAAAAAATTGGTGAAACATTCGAAAATTTATTCTTTTTTTTGAAGTGGTCTGTTAAAAATATAAAATTATGTTTTTATGGGAAAGAGTTTACACAGTGCCATTTTTAATTTTGTTGTGTATATTAAATAATTATTATTGTTGATGTTTTTTTGATAATAATATGGTCCAGAAAACCAACGAACTTCGCATTATTCTTTACAATAAGTACGATGCACTAACTATTGTGTTATTGAACCACATATATTTAATCGTTAAGATCCTCAAAAAGATCATTTTGAAAGATGTATCGAAATGTTGGGTGCTGCTAAAGTTTTTTAATATTTACACATAAAAATAATATTGGGAGTGCAAAAACATGTCAACAAAATTTTGACTAACACGATTTTCACAAATGGAATTTAGACACTAAAATACATGTCACTAATAAACAATTAATATAATATAACAACACACTTAAAAATTGACTTTATTGGTTAAATTATTTTAAAAATATAAAATAAAAAATTTAAATTGAATTTTTTTTACTTTTTTTTATCAATTTCAAAATATACTTTGACGTTGTAAAGTTAACAACTTTAGAATGAAATAATCTTAGCATAAGTCCCATTTAAAGTTGACTTTGGCAATTTCAAATTTGATGGACAACACAAAGTGACCAAAGACGTGCAATTTTTGAAGCACATAAATCCAATTTTGGTTACTGAATTTGGTATAACAAATTTTGTGAGTGAAGAACATTCATAAAAAGCCATATCCCCAATTTTAATTACTGAATTGCACACTTCAATTTGAGAAAGTTTTTGACAATTTTTGAACATGAAATTTCGTATTTTTGTGAGGGTTGTTGGAAGAACAAATTTTTCCAAAAGCACCAAATTAGCAAAACACAAATGTTTTCCAAACACGACATTTTTTTCAAAAATGATATTTTTAAGATTAGTGCAACCAACAAAACAGTTGTCTCCTACAAATTTTAAAGTAGCTGGCAATTTTATTTCCTGCAAAATAGTACAATTTGAGTAATTTTTTTCTTTTAAATTGGTCACTCCACTTTTGACTTCAATTGTTTTTAATTCACAAAAATTGATCAAATATTTTTCACAATATTGAACTATTTTGGATGGAACAAATTTGGGGTGTTTGACTAACTTTTTACACCCAAAAAGACTGTAATCATCGATTTCTAATTGGCTTTCTTTTGATTCAATTTCAGTCAAACTTGTGACGTTATAAAAGGCCTTAAAAGGCAACTTTTTAATACCCAAAGGCAGTGCGATTTTCACAATATTTTTTGCTTCACAGAACGCGCCAATTCCAAAGTATGAGAACCCATCAGAGAGTTCAACTTTTGGGTCATGATAAAAATCGGCATTTTCAAAGCAAAAATCGCCGATTTCTTTGATTGCTTTGTACCATATAGAACCCACGACTTCACCACAACACATTAGATCACAAAATATGTTTGCGGGGATGTGTGGCTTTTCATTCACATTTGGAGAGGAATACCCATTTGCACTGCAAGTGTACGGCTGATTCAAGAATGTCATCCCTTTGATATAATTGAAATAAAACCCAACAGAATCCATCCAACTTGGTCCTTGTCCACTTTGCTCTTTATATTGGATGTTATAATCAACAACAATGTTCTTGCCACTCGTCTCAATTGTGTGAAATGCGTCAAAATGCGTCAAATAAGCTGCGCCATTATCACAAGTAAATTTGAGGTTATAACACTCTTTGAGATCAATCGACTTTAAACAACTTTGCACGTCAATTGTTAATGAATTGCATTTTTCACAAAAAAGTTCTTTTAAATCAAATCTAGTCAAATTAAGTCTTGTTGTATTAATATCTCGAAGACTTATTCTGCTAAGTGTATTTGGCAAGTCGTTTAATATGAAAAACTCGGAATTTAACTCACAAGAAGTCAATTGTTTTATATTAACTTCTTCTGTCAGTGTTTTTGGAACATTTAAAATTAAAACCTTTTCGGCAATTAAAACTGATTTTTCTTCTGTTTTTAGAATTTCAAGTTCTTCGACTAATTTAACAAATATTTTGTAGTTCTTTTGCTCTTCTGGAGGCATTTCATAAAACTTGGGTATATCCTCAACACTGTCTGGGTTTTCTCTGCAATAATCAATATAATCATTTTCTTTGAGAAGGATATCGTATTTTATAGGTAATTGAAAAGCATCACATATAGAAAAAGGAACAAGTTTGTGGACTTTCATCTCTTTATAAACTTCTATTTCAATATTTTGACAACAACAAAACTTCATTTCACATTTGTTATTTATAACAAGGTATTTGAGTGTTTGTGGAATTACAATTTTACTTTTAAAATGTTTATATTCATCGGTTTCTATTGCCAATTTTTTCACATCAATTTGTGACAAATCCAAATCAATTTCTGACATCTTGTATATTGTGATCTCTTCAAAGCCTTTACATGCATCAAGTGAGTATTTTAAATAAAATGGAAGTTCATTTTCATTGATATTTATTTTGGTTTTGATATTAAAAAAAGAAATAGGCAGTTCCCACGCACTAAATTTGTCATAATTTTTGACATTCATAAACATTACTTTAAAATAGATTTTTATTTTTTCAAACACTTTACTGTCTTCTTCGGTCATTTCTTCGTTCATTAAATATAAAACTTTATTGAAAACAAGTCCTCCTTTAGTCTGAATAAGCGGTAGAATGTGTTGTAACTGCCCTTTGCCACTTGAAATAATTCTGAGCATTTTCATGTTATGTAGTTCTAAAAATATATTTAATTTGTTTTTGATTGTTTGAAGTAATTTTATTGATATGTTTTCTACTGTTTCTTCGTTGCCAGTTTCTTCGACGACTTCTGGAACGACAATTGTGAGGTCTTCCAAATTTTTCATGTTTTCGATGTTTTTAACTAAATAATCGAGTGTCTCTATTGAGTAAATTACATAACTTTGAAATTGTGTCATATTCATTTGATGAATTGTAGCAAACGGAAACGCAGTTGAAACAATTGGAAATTTGGAATAATCATTGAGTCTCGTGTCATCTTCAATTTCGTATTCCCTGTCATTCATATTCACAACTTTAATAAACTCGATATGTCCAAAAACACTTTCAGGAACTTCAATTCTATAGGAGGGAAGATACAACGTTTTTATATTTGAAAAAAGTTTTAACATATCTTTGGCATAGTGATGTGATAAATACACATCGTAATGATTGTGATATACTTCTCGAGTTTTTTCAACAACAAGAGGATTAATTTGAAGCCGCTCCATCGCACGTTTGCATTTTTTGTTGATAGTAGAAAAAGTCAGAAGTGAATTAAAAGTGTCAATATATAGTACAACATTCATTAAAAAGAATTCCTCTAAATTTCCAACCATTTGAATTGTTTATTTAATTTAGTTCGTTTTTGTATTTATTTTTTGTTTATGTGTCAAGACTCAAATCGTAAAAATTGAATAACATTCGTACGATAAGATTAATAAAGTAAAAATTACATTACTTCTGTTTTATAATTTATTTATTTAGTAAAATGTTCATTATTATTATTATTATTGTTAAATAATTAATTTTTTTATATTTATATTTATAATAGAAAATAATAAAAACATTTTCAATTCTTTTTTTTAGTCGAATTTTGTAATGTCTTTAAAACAGCTCGTTATAAAATCATGTTTTAACACATACAAAAAGATAATGACGTCCACTCAAAATTAAAGTTTGTCTTAAAATGTAACACTCTAAATAAGTTTCAAAAAATTAAATTCATGTTTTACAAAATGTTAATTATTTAATTATTTGTGGATCAATAGAAGTTGTTTCTAATTTAAAGTGTTAAATAAATTTTATATTAGAAATGTTGATTAACCAAACTATGAAAATGCATTAATATCTTAAAAATCAAACAAATTTATACAAAACCAAATTATGTTATTTGTTGGCATTTTGTTTTTTTTATAATAACAATTTTTTATTTTCTACAACACATTTTTTACATTTATTTAGTTGTTTCATTCTTTACTTGTGTAGCATGAAAGCACCACAACAATGTTTCAATTCAACACAATAATTATCACTTTAAATTTTCAAAACAAGATTCTCACGCCGATACTATTCCACTTTCTTGGTTTTGACCTTTTGTTTTTTAACAAAAAGTCAAAACTGCTATTACTCATGTTCAACTCGTCTGAACACACATTACAAAGTTGAGAATTCATATATAACTGTATATTGATCAACTTTTATTTAATAACATTTGTTATTAAATACAATGGGAGAATAGTTCAATAAATATAATCAAACATAAATTGTTGATTATTATGTAAATATTTAATAACATAGAATTTTAAAATATTTTTATGATTTGAAAATTATAAGGGTTATTTAAAAAGATAATTTATAATAAAATAAAGTATTTACGTGATTCCAATGACTAAATATTTCCTAAACTCAATTTAAGAGATTATTTAAATCTTACTAACTTTCATATTAAAATTAAAAATGATTATTAATAACCAATACATTTCTAATTTTTAAGTTTCTTGCACGCATTCTATTTTGTATCTATATATACATGTACGTGTAATACAAAAAATGAAAATCTATATTCCAAAAGTTTATTTATTAAAAAATATCAACAAAAATTAAATATAATTGCAATTTAATTTTTACAATTATTTTTAAACCAAAACACACTTTTTGTGCTTATTGTTACCATATAGTTTTTGATTGGACTTTGTCTTGATAATATCTCTCACCACCTCTTGAAAAACTTCGTCTATATTTATTCTACTTTTTGCAGATGTTTCGAAAAAGGAAACTTTCCATTCTTCAGCAATTTTTTCGCCATCTTCAATGGGAACAATTCTTGCACTCTCCAAATCACTTTTATTACCACACAATACAATTGGCACGTGTTCATTGTGCGTTTTGTTAAGTATTGTGTAAATGGTATTTCTGTAATAATCAATTTCATCAAAAGACTTTCTGTCTGTAATTGAGTATACTATTAAAAATCCATCTGCGGTACTGACTTGAATATCTCTAATTGTATTGTATATATCTAAGTCGACAGTGTCTAGTATTTCCAAGATATAAGAATAACCATCAACTTCTATTTTAGCATAAAAAGTGTCTTCAATACTTGGGTTGTAGGGTTGAACAAATCTACCTAATTTCAACTGAGTCGTAATAGTCGTTTTCCCAACGGTAAGAGATCCAAAAATAATGATTTTGGTTTTGTTTGTCGTCATTTAAAGAATAATATTTATTAAATAGATACTCATATAGTTTGGTTAGTTATAAATGGTTTAAGCCTATAGTTTTAAAATTATTAATAATGGTAAATATGATATACAAATATAATGATTATATAAATAATACATCAAATACTTCAATTTTAAACATTCTATTTTTATCATATTTAAACTATAATTTTATTATCTATTTGAAATTTGTTGTTTAGGTCAAACATGTTATACGGTGCATTTTTATATTAACACGTTGGAACCTTTTTCTGTTTTATACAAAAATAATAAATTGGTTGATTTTTTATGCATTATGTAAAAAAATTTTAAAAAATAAAAAACTTGAACTATTCCAAGACAGACAATTGTTATGCCAATCTTTGTGTTTTTAAAAAAGTTTTTTATCACAAAAGTACAATATAATAAAGATTTTTATACCATTTTGTCAAAAAAGCCTTTGTAAAAACAATAAAAAATAACAAAAAAATAAAATATTTCTTTAATTTAAAAGTTGAATTAAATTAATGAGGCCTTGTTAATTTAAATTCAATCAATACAAAAAAATATATACAGTGCTCATTGGTTTCAAATCGATAATATTTTTTAATAAATCGATTATGTTTTTATATTTTCGACAGTATTTTTTATGGTTTATATTGTATTTAATGAATTATATTACTTTTAATGAAATAGACTGTGTTTTTTATAAATTATATTACTTTTAATGAAAGTGGTTATATTTGTTATAAATTATATGGCATTTTTCTAATTTATACAACATTTTTAGTAAAATCAATAGTTTTTTTCTAAAATATATAGGATTTTTGATAACTTATATAACTTTTGTTTGAAAATATTTTGCTTTTTTTTACAAATTATTGGATATCCCCGAATATTAGGAATAAAAATACACATAATAAGCAAGTTATTATTTGTTAAAAATACTTAATATGTAACTATATTTATACTATTATATAACTAAATTTTAATCTATTTTTATTTAGAACCTCTTCTCAATGAGGATATTTTTTTAACATAATTATGTATATTTAAATAACGGGCAAAAAATGATATCATGCAATTAGATTATATCGACAGAAGAGATCCAGGAGCAAGAAACGACTATCATGAAAATGCACCATTATCCATGCAAGGGCAACCTGTACAACCTGTAATGTTGCCCCATCAAGATATCCCACCTCTTCAAAAAAGATCACGGGGTCGGCCCCGAAAATTGGATTCAAAAAAGAAGAAAACAAATACACGACCTTATTCTCGTGTTACAATTGATCAAAGAGATTCTTTGGTTGAACTATGGAGTAAAAATGGTGATAACATGAATGCTTCACGATATTCAGAAATAATTGGGATTAAAAAAATAAACATTGAAAAGTATCTTTCAATGTTAAGAAAAGGGATATCAATATATCCAAAAAAATCATTATAGAAGACAAAGCCGTACTTTACCTTTTCAAAAATTGGTAGAAAAAGCCATTGAAGAAGACACAACAACAAAAATAACTTCAATTAGAAAAATGATAGCACAAGAAGAAAAATTACGCGAAGAAGAAGAAGTTGATGAAATCATTTTGGATATTCCAAAAATATCCAAGGTTGCTGTTACTAAAGAGGACATTGATCTTTATGCACCTTCGATATCATCAATTGGAAATTTCATGACTGGTAAAACAGCAACAGGTGAAGAGAGAGAAGTCCCTATTTTTTCTTTCAAAAGAACAAAGACAAGAGGGCCAACAAGCAACACGCCAGATAATAAAGAAAAAAGAATTGCAGCAGTAAACGCTCTAAGGGGTTATATAACAGGTGGAGCACGTTGGGTTTGTATAGATGAAACCAGTTGGACTGTAGCATCAACTCCTGCATATGGCTAATCAGTTAGAGGGAAGGAAGCCTTCATCACAAAATCAAAAGGTGGTCTTCGCCTCACCTCCATATGCGCAGTTGATTGTGACGGACTCTCTTATTGCAATGTGGTTTGTGGAACAAACACATTAAATTCGTTCGAAGACTACTTCCGGTACCTAATTCATGAGTATGATATAAAACAAAGACAATGCGTTTTTTGGGTGGATAATTGTGATATTCACAACACTATGAGAAGAATGCTAGATAATACAAACCACACTGTCGTATTTAATGCTGCGTACTCACCAGCACTAAACCCAATTGAAAATATATTTGGGATCTGGAAAAGTAGGGTTGAAAAAAATGTGAGAACTTGGAACGGAATAAGAAAATTTTCTTGAAAAAATCAGAGATGGTTTTTTAACTATTAAACCAGAAGAGTGCCAAAGTTGTTTTGAAAATGTTAGGGAAATTGTGTGGCCTCGAGTGTACAGCCAAGAAAATATTTAATCAAATGTTTTTAAACAATGTATGGTTAATATAGTTCATTGATTAGTCTATTGTAATGATATATATAATATATAATATATATAATTATAAATTCAATAATAAAATATTTGTAATAATTATTGATAAAGTTATATTATAAATTTATTATTTTTATTATGTGTCATAATTGTGAAAATTTGTATTAAAATAAATAATAAAAATAGATTAAAATTTAGTTATATAATAGTATAAATATAGTTACATATTAAGTATTTTTAACAAATAATAACTTGCTTATTATGTGTATTTTTATTCCTAATATTCGGGGATATCCAATAATTTGTAAAAAAAGCAAAATATTTTCAAACAAAAGTTATATAAGTTATCAAAAATCCTATATATTTTAGAAAAAAACTATTGATTTTACTAAAAATGTTGTATAAATTAGAAAAATGCCATATAATTTATAACAAATATAACCACTTTCATTAAAAGTAATATAATTTATAAAAAACACAGTCTATTTCATTAAAAGTAATATAATTCATTAAATACAATATAAACCATAAAAAATACTGTCGAAAATATAAAAACATAATCGATTTATTAAAAAATATTATCGATTTGAAACCAATGAGCACTGTATTATTTTTTTGAAATTACAAAACAATAACAATATTTATTTTTTATTTTGTAAATGGTTTTTTCACCACCTCTAAAAATAGATTTTATTTACTATTTGATATGATATACAAATTAAATATATAGTAAATGGGCGTTTTGGATGATATTTAGTCTGGTTCCCGAAATCAAGAAATGCCGAAAATTCACCTCGAGTTAGTGGAAACCGAGTAAGACGGAGCATTGAAAAGAAGGCTCATAAAGACACACTCAAACAGTCTGTTTGTGCACCGTTTCACCAACTTTCCAAGTCCTCCCTTGGCGCGGATCCTCCCTGACCCCCCGCAAGCGGGGGGGAACCACATCCGCGTCCACACAGTACGGACAAGGAAAGTGGGTGACATGGTGCACAAACAGTGGCTGAAAAGTGGACTTCTTTTAAAAAACACTCACGGCAAATATTTTTTTTGGTAAAGGTGGTGGTGGTCAATGTAGGTCCCATTTTTGATGTGTTTTTTCTTCAATTATTTTTTTGTTCATCCCACAAAAACGTTCATTAAAACATTCATTGTTTTCACAAAATATAAATAAAGTAACTACTTTGTTTTGATAAGTAAAAATAGTTTTTTAGCATTAACAAAAATATGAATTTTTGATTATAATTGTTGTTTAACAAAACAATAATTATAATACATTTTATTATAATCACAATAATTGATAAAAGTGTTTCATTTACAACTGTCATTATTGTTATATATTTCTGTCAAGAAACAATAATGTAATTTGCTTTGTCTTTTCATATTATTATTAAACAAATTCTATAATAAATTAATAATGAAACGATTAAATATTATAAAAGTCAAATAAAAACAAGAAATAATTGTTAATTTTTTTTATAATAAAAAAGTATTTTTTATTCCAATTAATATTTCGAATCATTTATATTTCATTTATAAAAACAAAATTAATCAATTATTATATATTTACATTTTTATAATTAATATTTTAATATTTTCAACATAACGATAATAAAAATTGTTTTGTTACTTGTGGTGTTTTGATTAATTTAATGTGTTTCCATATAAAATTTTGATACACTTTTTAATTTAATTTAATAATAAAATTATAATTAAGTCGTGTTTTTCGTTGTTATAGTAAAAATCAACGAATTGAAAAAAATAATTTTATGTTCATTTTTTTAAATGTTATAATATTGATTAAATTTGCGATTTTTGTATAAAATTTGGATATGAAATTAATTTTTCGTGTTTAATAAACCAAAATATTTCGTGATTTTGAAATAAGGAAATTGTAGTGTAAGCATGATTAGACAAAAAATTATACCTAAACCAAAAAATTTTGCCGAAAATGTTGTAAATACGTTTCACTAATTTACAAATTTTTTTAATGAAAAAAAAGAAAAAAGGGTTTGCCAATGACCACTATCATGTGTCACACAGTGACGGGTTAAATATTTATAAAATTAAAAAATGAATTATATAAAAATATAAACATCAAAATATAAAATTCATTAAAAACACTAAAATGTATTTAAAATCAATTTATATTTATATTATTAATATTAGTACAATTATTTCAGAAAAAATAATATAAAAAACAATTAACTATTAAAGAAATTAATAACAACTACAAATGAATAGTTAAATTATACCAAATAAACCCCGAGATAAAATAAAACTATTAATGAATTATATTAAAAACAATAAAATAGAATTTGAATGTTCATTAAACTTTATATATATATTATTATTAGAATTAAATGTTATTAAAATGACATATTTAACTAAAATAAATTGATTTAAAATGGTGCGAAACAATAAAATAATTAGTAGACAAATTATAATAACATTTACATTATTTGGTACAATTTTAGTTATTTAATTTGTGTAATGTCAATATCATTGAGTTATCAATTACATGTTTTAATATTTATTATTATTTATTTAATTTGTTACATTTTAAGATGAACATTTACAATATGTTATTATTATACTATTTATTTACAAATTATTTATTATTTTGTTGTACACACAATTATTTATCATACTGATTAAACCCACATAAGAACAATTCACTTACATTTTTGGTCTTTTGATTATATTTGAATTGAATTATTAACAAAATTCAAAATTATGGGATTATTTTTGATATAATTTAATTAAATAGAAACAATTAATAAATTAAATAGAAAAACATAGAAAATTACAATAATTTACAAGAGACGTTGAAAACATTTTTTTTGGATTTAGAACATCATTTATAATTTTAAGGTTGTCATTGGATATAAGGTGTTTTTACAATAAATTTTGAGTATACAAGGTCTCAAAAAACTACCAAACACCTTTAGTTTATAATGAACAATTTGTAATGTAAATATAGTATTATAATATATGATACATAATATTATATAATTTAATTGTTGACTAAGAACAATTTAATTTAAAAATGAAAATGCCAATTACAGCTTTCAAAAAATCACGTATTGTGTTTCATTAATTTCTAACATGTTTTTTACTTTGTTCATTAAATTAATTGTCCTGTATTTAAAATTTATAAAGATAATTTTATTATAATAATACACATGACTGAAAATATACATATTTAATTTAAGTATTTGATAATGTTGTAAATTATTGATTATTTTTTAATACATTCAGTTTTGCAAATTAATGAAGTAACCTTCTATATAAAAACTTTTATTCACGTTTGAAAATGCAGTCGTGTTGAAAAAACACAAGTAATTTATTTGTGTTATTTGAACATAAAACTATCTCCAATGTTTTTTATGATTAAAACATGTTTTGAAAACAAATTTTTTTTTATGTTTAAAATTAATGTGTTTTAAATTTATTTAGACTTTGTGTGCTAATAAAAATGAAAGGTAGCTTTTGTGTATTGAAAAGAAAACATCAAATATCACTGGATAACGTTTCCAATCCACAAAGGACGTTATAAATAATTTACATTATACTTGCAAAAATATACTTATTTTTTAATGTACAATTATATAGAAATATTTAATTATAATAATAATATAATTCTAAAAATAATAAGAGTAATAATTAAAGTAACAGACCGAAACAAAAATCTAATTTATAGTAATTATTTGTAACTAAAATGATGTTAAAAACTATTATCAAATATAATAAATATAAACAATGATCTAATAGAAATAATAATCATTAGTCTTCGCATTCAATTTTTATTTTCGATAATTAGGTGCGAAAAAACGCTAATAAAACGGGTAAAAATACATTCACTCGTTTTATTGGTATTTTTATATTAATTTTCGGGTTTAAAGCCTAATCCTCAAAAAATATTAACCCGTGATGTTTACTTATTTTTAAATATTTATCTTAGTTAATTTTAATTCATTTATATTATTTTACATTTAAAAATGAGTTTTATCATTATTTAACAAACCATAATGTTACTAATTTATTATAATATATTACACAAATTAATTAAATATTATTTAAATATTATTATCTCAAGTATTTTTTTATTAGTTTGATTGGTTTTATTTAAAAAAAGAAAAAAAACAATTGTTATAAATGAAAAAAATGGCATTTGGATCCTTTTATTACCAAATTTATATTTTTATTTTTAAAAGTCAACAAAACAAAAGTTTAAGTAAATTGTCGGTGTTTTGTGTTGAAAAAGAACATTTTTGGGAATATACCCTTTTCAAAAAGACTGAAATGTCTAATCATGGTGTAAGTAGAAAATTAAAAATCAAAAAATAAGACGCAAAAAATCGAAATAAGGGAAAATAATGATAAGTAAAACAGGTATAAATTTCGACATAATATATTAATATCCCGAAAAACAAAAAAAAAATTTACTGTTATAACGTGTCGGACTTTGTGGCCCAAGTTTACTACCCCAATACATCCACATACAAATGCCAACTCTGTGATTCGACATGTGGCAATCAATGCAATCCAACAAATGGATATTGCACTGGTTGTATGAGCAACTACGTTTTATACACAAACAAAGACCAATTGACATGCCAGAGTTGTTCACAAATGGACACACACTTCAATTTGTGTGCAACAGATTTTTCAAGAAAGTGTGTTGAATGTATAACCGGGTACTACCCGGATTTGTTAGGAACGTGTGTGTTGTGTGATCCGTCGTGTATAAATAAATGCAACAAACGAATGGGATACTGTGAGTCTTGTATCGCCAATTATGTTTTGATTTCATCTGAAAATCCTAAATGTCAAAAATGTGACGAATTTGATACAAATTGCAAGACTTGTTCACCTGATAACAATAGAAAGTGTGTTGAATGCAATACAAATTACTATCCAAATACAAGTAATGATACAGATGTAAACTTTGCCATTCTTCTTGTGGGGGTTCATGCAGTGGTACAACAGGTGCGTGTACCGGTTGTTCATCAAATTACGTCTTTTCAATAACAAACAATTTAGTGTGTGAACCATGCTCAAATTTTGATTCAAACTGTTTGACATGTGACTCGACATATCAGAGAAAATGCAGTGTGTCGAACAAGTGGGATGTATCCAAGCGACTCAACAGACACATGCGTCTCAGGTGATGCTACATGCAACGGAAAATGCGATCAAACAACAGGCAAGTGCAATGGTTGTATCAACAATTACGTGTTTGAAGCAACAAAGAGTCATGTATGTGTTGCTTGTAAATCGTTTGATCAGAATTGCAAGATCTGTTCACCCGATTACAACAGAAAATGTGTTGAGTGTGAAAGTGGATTCTATCCAAATCAAAGTGGCGTTTGTGTACAATGTAACACAACCATCACAAACTGTAAATCGTGTAGTACAAGAGAAAACAAGTGCTTTTCATGTCAAGACCCATATTACCTCTTCAACCAAACGTGTTTGAGTTGTTCTTCTGGAACTTATAATAACACCGAAACATCATGTGAAAAGTGTTTTATTGGCATCCCAAATTGTCAAGTTTGTTCAACTAAAAAGTTGGAATTCCTGTTTGCACCACTTGTTATTCGCCATATGCATTTGATTCACAACCAATTTTGTGATTTGTGTGGTACAAACAAAGTTACAGCACACACAAGAATGTGAACTAATGAAATGGGT